ACACTTGCATTGATAAAACTGGATCTAAACCTCCAAGATACATTTTGTGATGACAGCTGAGAACCTGCCAATTTCTTTCATGCTATGAATCATTGTAGGAGGATATGCTAAAATGTGCATTTACAATGTTATCTGAATTAGGAGTGTAGACCTGGTTTTAATCTGAAAGCTAATATCCAGTGTATACACATTTTTTTTTTTAAATCCCCTTGAAAACAAATTAGCAACTCTGTATTTTTTCCTGAAAAGTGCAGACCATGCTAAGAGGATATGATTTTGGCTACTGCTGTTTGCTCCTTCTTCTTCAGTGACACAAAACAGCACAACATTTGTTAACATGAGGAGAAACACGCACCTAAACATATCGCTGAAAGACCGTAATAATTACTGGTTCATCCTCACAAATCCTATTTAGAGCCTGCCCTCGGGCTCACCAGAGTCAAGGCTCAAAGCAATTTCCTGGCATTCTGGCATGGGTCTTGCATCCTAAGAAGGGAGGAAGCATCAGCCCCTGGACGCTCTAATTTCATCTCAAGCTCCATGGCTGGCTTGGGGGCTCGGGGAATGCCTAGCAAGCAAGAAAAACAGAGGTATCCAACTGACAGGACTGCGGCCACCGTTCACCATTCAGGAATAGGTTGTTTGCTCTCAGGAATACTGCCCTTCAGGTGAAATAGCTAGAGGAGTAATCAGTATTATTAAATACATTGGCCAGAAATAATGCTGTATGTTTGTCTCTTTGGCATTTTTCTTCCCTCTCCAGGGGCCCGAGATGAGCTCTTTTGCTTTCAATGGAAGTTAGACTGGATGAGAATGAAAAACAACTAGATACTGTGATTTTTTTAGGAGACCCTGGAAACACACACTTGAATGGCATTTATTGTTGCTGTTTTAGCTTGCCTGATAAGGTGCAAACAGCTGGAATAGAGAGAAGCAGAACATTAAAAAGCCTTCTAAATGAGGCTTTTGATTTATATATATATATATATATATATATATATATATAAAACAGATGGAAAGACTGAAAAAAAACCCCCAAACTTTAATAAGGGTTTAGTCATCATTAATTAAATCAGGTATCATTTCAGATATCTTTTCAAAGAAAAAAAACACAAAAAGAGTTTCTTTATAATGTTTCACTTAAACATAAAGCCGCATGAGAGCACTCAGCACCTTGACAACTCAGAGAAACTTCATTCACATATAGAGGTCTCACTACAAGCCTGAACTTGCTCCCATTGAAGCAAATGAGAGGACTCCTACTGACTTCAATGGAAGAACAGCAAGGCACGTAGCATGAATTGTATGCACCTATGTGAAAACAGTTTGTTGTTTGATTTTCTTCGGAGCTAGTACGTTTGTTAGTCCACAGATCTCTGTGATTTGCTGGTTGAGAGACTTTAGAAGGAAACTGTAACACAGAGCTTGGAGCATGAGGTTTCACAAAGTTAAAAAATCCACAACTTCTCTCAAAAAGGGTGGTAGCAGAAAAAGAGAATATATATCTATACAGTGTGTACACATGTATACACATATACTCCTGTTCCATGCAAAAAGCTTTCTAAATAAAAACATACAAAAAATAACCAGTGCCATACATTATGTAAACTCACAAGGCATACTTTCAACACAAGTTTGAAGCATAAATTAAAAGACAGAAAGAGAGAGACAGAGACGATAGCAAAACATTTTAAATATAGAATTTGCACAATTGGTATTTTTGTTAAATAAGAATAAATAAATTCATTACATCCGTTCACATACCAGTTGTAAAAACAATAAATTATTTTATTTTTTTCAGTGCTATGTTGCTTTTTTTTTTATACATTGTGATTAATCCACAAGATTACTCCCTCTCCCCCTTGCGATAAAACTGTTTCCACAGGAGGGCAGCTAAATTTATTTGTTTGTCTATAGCCAAGCCAAAAAGGATAGGCTTCCTCTGAGTGAGAAYATCTTATTGGAAAGGCAGATGCTCCGCAAAACACTAACGCTAGTGGGTCTAAATCCACTCAAGGCATTGGAGATGTTGCCCAGTGCTTTTAACACTGAGGAGGACTTATTTCCACGCAAAGCACAGCCCCGTGGGCTGCTTAAATAGTGTTGCTATCCCCTTAGAAGTGTTTCACAAATCCTGCTTGGCAGCCCACGGTGCTAATGTAAACAGCGACACAAACTGAGTTAGGAGGAACCCAGCTCAGAGCACAAGCTGCAGGGACAAAGTCACKCGCCGTGCACCAACTCTGTGCTCAGCAGTTACATGAAACAGTTCTGAATGACCCACCCCGGGACTGGAGTCTTTGTACAAAGAATATCTAAAGAGCAAGTGTAAAAGAAGAGCACATTGACCTACTTTACCATCTACATTCACGGCTGCTTTCTTTGCTCTGCCCCTTTGCCCTCTCACCATATAAACTTTTTTATGCTTCTGTTAATGTACTTCATAAGCACGTGGATGATGTAGGGGGTTGTTCTCATATTTCTTCTTATAAATAAACTCTTTCTATGAAAAAAGATACTCTTCACCTAAGAAAGCTTTAAATTTATACCCATTACTGTATTACTCTTCTGGAGCTCGAATAATATCCAAAATACTCATTCTTTTGAATATATAATAAATTATTACTATGATTTGAACACAAATACTCACATTTTGTCTCTATAATACTAACATTAGTAGGAAAAATAAATGCCACAATACAGCAGTACTGAGACAAATATTAAGTTTTTGAGTAAATGTTAAGTCATCTTGTTTTTCCTCTCATCATGGGTTTTCTCGGCACTCTGAAATTGTGAGAGGTTGGGAAACATGTAATATAAGGAAAATAAGACTCTAAAAATGAGATACCTAGATTAATAGCTAAAGAAGGGATGAACCTTAACTTTCTAAAATTCCACAAATATTCAGAGCCTTAACCTAAGTTATGAGGGTGGGATCAGTGATTAACTGGGGAAATTCCCTTAAGATCCACAGTTTTGCATAGGACTGTGCCTAACAAGAAGGCATACTCTTGTGAAAGCTTAAGATGACTAGTAACATTTATTTGAAGCTCATTTTGATAAACTAGGAGGACTTGTCCCTATTATTGTTTACTTAGAATAGAGTACAAAAACAGACGCTTCTCCAGGTTTCACTCTTGAAGATGGAGCAATGCTCTGCTATTTTGAAATCATCACATGCTTTCTAGAGTTCATACAAACACATCCCACTGGCAAAAACATGTTTGTGTCAGCCTGGAGTGAAATCCGCCCTTTTTGGCTACACAGACCAACAAGTTTTTTCCTGACTTCACAACTGGGATTTTTGAAAAGACCTAGAGGTGTTCAGTTGCAGCTGTGAGGATTATCTTAAAATCCTCCTATAGTCTCATATTCTGCTATGTGGATGATCTGGGGAATCAAATACAGGTTTGCAGTTTAAGCAGCATTACATACATTTCTTTTAAAGCCTGTTATTCTAGGGTCTATTTCAAAACCTGCTGAAATGAAAGGAAGCATTTTGGTAGGATTCCTTTCAGGCCTCCACCTGCTATCTGTGTATGGTGAGATGAATGTCCTCTCTCACAGATCTTCTATCAGGTAATAACGGGATTCAGAAGCCGTTGCCAAAAAAAAAAAAAAAAAAAAAATCCCAGTTACTGCCTGTACTGTGGAAACAGTCTTATTGATAATGGGTAAGTCCTCCACATCCTGATGTGGCTTAACTTCCTAGCGACTCCCGGTCCTCCTATATGTGGTACATAAACAAAACTTGAATGACTTCTACAGCTTAGAACAAACAAACAAAATCTAAAAGACAAATAGTTACAAACAGTTGCTGGTAAGATCAATACCATGGTTAGACATGATGGACAAAACAGTGACAAAATATCAACTGCTTGCTGTGTTTTTTGACCTTTATAACCTCTCGAAAAGATGTAGGTGCATTATACATTGTTAGATTCAATTCAGAGAGAAGATAACAGAGAAAGCAGTTGAACAGTCTCAGAATATCTGAGTTAGAAGACAATCGGTTATCTTACCTATAATTTTTGGTTCTCTAACTGGTTTCTATGAAATACAGTATGCCTTTGTTTTATGGAAAGAAGGAGCTAACAGCTATCCCTCATTTGCAATAAAGTCCCCAAGGTGTAACAAGCACAGAAGGAAAGAAATGTTTACACGAGCAAAGTGTACCCAAATTCTTTCTAAGCAGCCAAAAGTCTGACTTACATAGAGTCAGAAGTTGCTCATGGTACTGGTATGTGAGCAATGCACACATGGGAATCCCTTATCTAAAAGCTGCTGCAACGCTCCTTTTCAGAATTTCTTGGTGGAAACACATTGTCATAGGATTATGATCTGCTGTCAGGAAATTCCTAGAATGTAAATGCACTTCCTGTTGTCAAAAAACAAAGAGTATTACTTTTTAAAAACAGCAGCAAGCTTTCATTTTCCAGTAAAACAGCTGCAGCCATTTCTGAAGAACGGACCAAGTCCAAAGGCTGCAGATATACTTTGGTCAATCACTTTGCTTATATAGTTTGCTTTTTGACTTATTTTTTTTTAATAGAACCAGTGATATAAAGTGACATACCAAATRAAAGATATTTACAGAACAGTATAAAATAAGCTACTGTAGTATCATGGATACGTGTGACGCTTTCTATGGACATACTGTATTAGAGGTAGGTGAAAAAGGGGAGATGATTCTGTAACCTTCAAATATCCTGGGATTCTCCATTCACTAGTTTTTCTTCCTTTTTTCCTTGTTTTATATTTTTGCAGACACAGAGGGCTTATAACTTTAATGCTTAGGTTTTTTGACATATCAAGATCACCCTATTATTATTTAAAGCAGTGCACATCTTCATTTGGTCCAAATAGGCAGATTCTGCCCATAATTTGAGACTGTATATAAGCATTTTGAAGCCTTCCTTCTCTCAGACTGGGCAAACCTAATACCAGTATGTCAACAATGGCTTAATCAATTCTCTTTTAAAGAAGATCACAACCACAGGTTAACACTTCTTTAACAAGCACTGTTTAAATGCTGACGGTCGCTGTGAGAGGAGACATCCTTTAGCTAATTTTCCATGCCCATCCTTGCACTGGACAGTTCTGGTGTGCCATCCTGTGTCACATGTTCGAGAACAAGAAAGCCATGGTCCCGTAACCCACCGTGGCTGCATGAGTTGCAGAGTTACTTTGTTGGTGCTGCCATTGCTGGTGACAGAATTAGTCATTTGCCCTTGTTTCTTTGGCACAAAGAAACTATAACGGACATCCACTGGTTGAGTTGGGTCAGTTGCAAGTATCTGTACAATAAGAATCTCTTTCGTGGCCGAATGTCCCATGGCATGCAAGAAATCATCTCTGTGACTCCAGCCACTATAGTTCATGACAGTCCCGTTGATGTCAATGATAGTTTCCGAAGTGGAGATCATGTATTTTCCATTTATCAAGTACTCACCATTTTTCTTTTTCAAGGCCAGGTAGGCAGTGAACCTGCTCTGGTCCTTAATCTTGAACTGCCGAACTTTGATATGAGTTGCCCCTTCTGGGATTTTCACTATGTCTGTGTAGCCCTTACTGAATGAGGGAAAGAAAAAAAAAAGCATTCAGTAGCTAGTGTGAAATAAACTTTAAGTATTACTGCAAAGTCTAATGAAGTTACTGGTAAGACACATCTTGCTCTGGTTTAGTTCAGACCCTCACTCCATCTGTCGTGAGGCTCATCTAAGATTAATTTAACTAGGTTTCAATGTGTCCTTTGTTTTGTTCTTTATGTGTTGTATTTTGTTCTTTATGTTCTTGAAGAACTTCCTAATGCACTTACTTCAAATTGCTTAATCTTTAGTAATAATTTTATATGACTCAGATACAAGAGGAATGAATAATAGCTGATAGCTTATATATTTCAGCAAAGGGTGGGAGATATGAAATACGATGCACGCTTTGCTTGCCAAAGACGGTAATGAGATATGCATTGGTTACAGCTGGTCCTTGCTGTCTTTGCTATAATGATGATTAAGGAAAGCATGAGCAGAGTAACAGCTGGAGAGAAGCATCTTGGGAATATTTAAAAATGATCTTGATGACCGAGAAAAAAATTGTTTACTCTGAAATTCATAAAACAAAACATTAATTGGTAAGTGTCCTACAAAAGGTGTAACCAAATGTTTAATCTGTACCATTACAGAGTCTTCTCAGTTTCTCCTTACAAAGTTCTTTAATTCAGATTCAGATTCAGATTCAGAAAAAGGGACTTAAATCTTCTGCTGAAAATGACAAACCTTAGAAATCCTGCAGACATGCTAGAACTTTCACTGTCTCAAGCAAGTTCTCAGATTTAACTTGACTAATACACTGAAAACTCTTAAGGCCTATGCATAGTTATAAGCTACCAGTTGGACTTYATGGAGTTATTTTCATTCCTAAAGATGTGGCAAAGTAATTCTGTAAATATCTCATATCTGAAAGGCTTTATTATTATCTTCTAGGAAAAAAAAAAAAGAAAATGTACTAAAAATGTGTAAAACTGAAGGTGTCTGCATAGCAACTGTGTAAATGATTGACTGCTACTTTTGAGAATTTTTGGTTGTCAGAAGTACGGATTGCACAGTGCATATTCAGTGCAAAAATCAGGCTGGAAGTCTGTTATTCAGCAATGCAGAAATACTTTTGGATAATAGATGCTAAATTATCTGTAAAAATATTACAGATAAAATGTTATTAAAAAATCATGTGCTCAAAATTTAAAGGAGATGCTAGAGAATTCAGGTGTTGTGCATAAAAAACAGCAATCACAGTTACCAACTGTAGAACATCATGTGCACAAAGAAGGAGCCTGAAATACAGTGTTTCCGAAACTTTGAAAATTTAACTTCACAGACTTTAAAAAAAGTTCTTAGCAAACAGTTTTTGAGGAGATTTTTCTGATTGATTTAAAGAAAAAAAAACATCAATGGCATTCTGTCAATTGTCTGCAATGAAATACTAGTTAAATTTAATGTAGAGGTCAGTATAGTTCCCATGATAATGGCCAGCAATGCAATGGACATGCTATTTTACAGTGGACAAGAGAAAATATCACTACAGCCACAGCTCTTTTTGAGGCAAAAATACTTAATGGACAATAAATTAATAAAATACTATTTTAGTAAAGAGTTTTAGTTTAACATCAAATGTTTGTCTAAAGGAATCAATCTCAATCAATATCCGCAGTAAAAAATAAATCTTCTTCACTCCAAAATTTCATCCAAATCAAATCAAAACATATTTGTCGCTCACAGTGGGTCTTTATGAATGGGACAGCTTTTTAAATGGGACCGCTATTAGTGGTAAGGTCAAATCCAGTCACACAGTAAAGAATATTTTACTCCCTGGCTGGTCTCATTTAAGTCAAAGCCATATTTTGAGGAAAATGAYGATCAACTCATGAGAATAATTATAGCAGAATCTCACCATTTCCAGGTGCATCTCTGCTGCAGGTTAGGCCTCACAGAAATCCATCAAGCTGCCTTACTTAGCATCTATGCTGGAGTCTGGATTCCCCCACAAGGATCATTACTGAAGCATGTGAGGTTTATCTCACCTGTCTTCTTCATTTAGACATCTCAGACATTTCAGTATTTACACTTTGGAAAACATTTGGTTTATATAATTATTGAATTGSATAGAAAATAATTTCTTTTGGCAGAGGTGTTTTGGCATCCTTAGGTAAGTAATCAGGGATTTACCAGGAAGAAGATCAGCTATGTTTATTTTTAGAGCAAATTTACTCTCTATGTCAGTTTGGACTGTTGTTAATCACTGTATCAAAATGCATAGAAACAAGGTCATTTCAAGAGTCAGATTTCAACTTCTGGTAAATTTTCAATATGCTATAAGAATTTGGAAAATATAAAACTAAATTAAGGTAAAGTACTTTTTAGAAGATGGTATACTAATTAGGCACAAGATACTGAGTAGAAATCCTCAGCTGAAGGTTTCTAAGATTACATCATCACAGTCTTGTAGCACGGTTGATTCTACATAAATGACAATAAAGGAAATCTTTATTTATCTTTAAGCCTAAAGAAGTGAAGAGGGAGCGAAACAAGAATTCAGACAGCAGGCAGACTGACTTGACATTGGTAATCTAGCTATGAAGTTTACTTCTGCCACGGAGTGGTTGCCTTTGTTTTATTAATTTTTATTATATTTAAACTAGTCATCTAAGCTCCATGTATATGGAGCAGTGTTAAAAGCATTTTTTTAGGATATTATTTCCTCTCACATTTCGTAAAAGACTAGTACAGCCTGCTCTAATGCTGCCTGCTTCTCTCCACTATTTGCATAGGTAATCTGTGTCACTAAATGAGGCGTGATGTATTCATTTTCAAAGTTAAATGATGAGACGAAACATGTTCTCAGTGAGTGATTTACTAATACAGCACCATCTAGGAAATGCAGTTTCACATATTCCCAGATTATTCTGTACCAGTAACTTCCTGGATCATCCTTCTCTTCCCTTTATTTCAGAAATCACAAAGTATGTGACATCGTAAGGTTAGTGAACAGCACAAGATCACACAGGATCACAGAATCACAGAATGGTTGAGGTTGGAAGGGACTTCTAAAGATCATCTAGTCCAACTCCCCTGCTCAAGCAGGCACACCTAGAGCATGTGGCACAGGGCTGTGTCCAAGCAGGTTTGGAAGATCTCCAAAGAAGGAGACTCCACAACCTCCCTGGGCAGCCTGTTCCAGGGCTCTGTCACCCTCACAGGAAAGAAGTTTCTCCTCACATGGAGATGGAACTGCCTGTGTTTCAACTTATACCTATTGTCCCTTGTCCTATCACTGGTCATCACTGAAAAGAGTTTGGCCCTCCTCCTCCCTATATTCACCCTTCAGGTATTTAGACATATTGATCAGGTCC